ACCAGTCTTAATACATAGCTATATACCCATGACCTGAACCTGGCACAGTTTATTTGTTAAATATACAAATAAATGAATGGAATCTTCCTACTCAAAAATCCTATGAAAACACAACAATATTTCTCTAGCTCTATTTTATATTTATGGAAGTTTTTCAAATGACATTTGTCTAGATTCCCACCATTCCTTAGGAAAGTTTCTTGGTCACATATTCAGAAAGGAAAATTTCCATGTATGGTAATGACTACAACATCAGTGTTTTAGTAGATTTCCTACATTTTCAAATATTTCTCCCCAGCCTATAATGTAGTGAAATCCCTCTATTGCTTTTTGTAACTGTTACCCCAAAAGAATTCGTGTTGTCACTGTGGTTACTCTTTAAACCATTTTTCTTCCACTGGGTCATCTCTGATGCAATTGGAAAGTCTAATTCAAATACTTCCTCTTGGGTCCTCTGTGAAACCCACCACATGAATGCTAGTCATGGAGTGACCATGCCTCACCTGCTCAGAGGTATGTGGAAGCAAATCACCAATGGTGTCAAGTACCAGAGTTTAAATGTGTAGACATGGCAGTTACCAGTGCTTTTCCTCCTAGCTCTTCATGACCCATTAAACCTACTTAGTAAATTCTGAGAAAATGAATCTAAGTATTTATTTTATTAAATAAAACTTTTTTAAAAAGCCCTCTAAAACCCAACTTTTTTTTTTGAGGAAGATTAGCCCTGAGCTAACATCTCCCACCAATCCTCCTCTTTTTGCTGAGGAAGATTGGCCCTGAGCTAACATCTGTGCCCATCTTCATCTACTTTATATGTGGGATGCCTGCCGCACCTGGGATCCCAACCAGTGAAGCCCGGGCAGCTGAAGCGAGCGCGTGAACTTAACTGCTACGCCAGGCTGGCCCTAAAACCCTACATTTTTGCCTTGTGTAAAGCTGGTGGCCTCAAGTTGAAATAATTAATTTTAACTAAACTTTCACTAATTTTTTCAACTATTTCTCCTAACATCCTCTGCTCCTGATCACATCATGCCTGAGATCACTCCTAAAGTTTAACACTTGATGCTGGTCATCAGTTTCTGAATTTGGTCTCCCTTTTTCAAGAACTCTTTACTTTTGAATCATTGGGCCCACTTATCTATTGCAGCCCCCAGGATACTTCCTGAGACGTAGGTCAGGCTTCCTGAGCTCACAACAGGACTCCTCAAGGTTAATCTTCTAGACAGCACCGTGCATTCCCACCACGTTCAAAGCTTGTAGGTGTTGCTCATGGAAAAGGGAGCATGGTCAGCTTCACTTCGTGCCCTCTTCCTCTTAGAGACATGACTGCTAGTCCTAGTTTCAAGGTCAGAACGTGGACCTGGGAAAGCGTTGACCTCTAGCGTCTTTCCTGGTGGCTTGGCCTCTTAATCCCTCAACCATCCTGGCCAGAAGGGGGAGTAGTTACAATAGGAACTTTCCAGTTCAGGCATTAGTCTTCCCAAACTCCAACTATTTGCCTAATCTGTTAGGAGGGATACCTACTCCAGTTTCCCACTTGAAACAGGCTGCTACACTAAATTCTAACTGTTAAAAAAATTAGGAGTCATGACCTTTTCCTCTCTCTCTTTTGTTTTTTTTTTAAAGATTTTATCTTTTCCTTTTTCTCCCCGAAGCCCCCTGGTACATAGTTGTATATTCTTCATTGTGGGTCCTTCTAGTTGTGGCATGTGGGATGCTGCCTCAGCGTGGTTTGATGAGCAGTGCCATGTCTGCGCCCAGGATTCGATTTGATGAGCAGTGCCTTGTCCGCGCCCAGGATTCGAACCAATGAAACACTGGGCCGCCTGCAGCGAAGTGCGCAAACTTAACCACTCAGCCACGGGGCCAGCCCCTCTTTTTTTTTTTTTTTAAGATTGGCACCTGAGCTAACATCTGTTGCCAATCTTCCTTTTTTTATTTTTTTCTTCTTCTCCCTGAAGCCCCCCAGGACATAGTTGTATATTCTAGCTATATGTCCTTCTGGCTCTACCGTGTGGGATGCCACCTCAGCGTGGCCTGATGAGCAGTCCTAGGTTGGCACCCAGGATCCAAACTGGCAAAACCCTGGGCTGCTGCAGCAGAGTGCGCCAACTTAACCACTCCGCCATGGGGCCAGCCCTTCCTCTCACTTTTGAAATAATACGTGCAAAGAAAAAATTTCAAAACTGAAGTCACCCAGAATTCCATCAAGCGACCAAAAAAAGAGATAGCAACTGAGATTTTTTTAAATGAGAATCTTAATATATTTTGATTTATATTTATTTTCCAGTTTATGATTCATAATCCAATAAAAAATATCTACCAGAAACCTGAATCAAAATTCCAACATCATGCACAAGAGTTAAATGTGCCCTTTAATGTTGGGAAAAACTCAAGGGTAGCTGCTGTCACTGCTACCATTTAAAATTGTATTTAGAATTTCTGCCAATGTAAGAAGACAAGAATAAATATGATGAGTAAATACTGAGAAGGAAAAGACAAAACTGTTATTAATAGACAAGTACCAGAAAATGCAATACATTGAGAAACTATTGGAAATAATAAAAAAGTCCAATGAAATCCACCTACAGGATCAAAATCAATTGTTTTCCTTTACACTATCAATAGCAAAATACTTTAAAAATCCCATTTCCAATAGGCACAAAGAATTCTGTAAAATATATGACAATAAACATAACATGACGTGCAAGATGTACATAAGAAAAACTTATGTATTAGTATTATTACTAATTATTATTATTATTAGTAGTATATGTACTGTATTAGTGAAGGTCATACAAGAGGACATGAATAAATAGACATATTGACAGCTCAATGTCAATATTAATCAATATAAATTCTGTGCAAATTCCATCAAAATCCCAACAGGATTTTTCAAGGAATTTGATAAGCTGTTTTTAATATTTGTTTAAAGTGAATGAGCAAAAATAGTCAAGAAAAAGTTGAAAAAGAATGATAAGAGACTCTGTTTTGCCACATATCAGAGATCTGCAGTAATCTTTAAAATATGATTTTGGCACATGCATAGACCAAAAGATCAATAGAACAGAACAGAGTCCAGAAAAAGACCCACAAGTATATAAGAACTTAATACATGATCGTATTGGCCTTTTAGATCAATGGGGAAAAGTTGGTATTGGATAATTGGCTTTCCTCAATAGAGTAAAAATTTAGATCCCTACCTGAAATCATATGACAAAATAAGTTATAGATAGTGTGAATGCTAAAGAGTTAAACATGGGGGATAAAACTACAAATATCGAAGAAAATATAGATGAATTTTTTATTATCTTTGGATGGGGAACATGTTACAGGTAAGGTTTTCCAGAAATCAGGCTATAAAATGGCAATTAGTGCGGAAGGGAGCACTTCCGATTCACTTCATATTTATGGAGGAAGAGAAGGAAGCAGAATTGAGTAGAGAAGTTGGGCTACGGTGCAATCACAATAATGCCTCAGTCCACCCCACCTGGAGCTCATAAGTTGCAATGGGCCCAAGTTAAGGTGAAGGCATTGGGCCCTTATAGCCCCACATCATCCAGGCATTGGGTGCAGGCTGACTCCAGACAGGATGTGACCTTGGTTGAGGTCACTCTCTTCAGCTGAGGGTAATTCTTGGAGAAGGCTGACAGTTTCAGTCCCGGGTAGATCCCATTTGTGCAGTGCTGCAACCACACTTGAGCAGCACAGATCAATTTAACCCAAAAGTTTAGGGAGCAGCTCCTTCAAGATCTGGTGAGTGTCTTTTCTTGGGGGAAAACACGCAGGGAAGATTAGTGGAATGACCTACAGCTTGCACTATTGCAGCTTGTCCTGATGCTGTAACTGATACCCAATGTCTCCATCCTCTATTTCCCTTAGTCTTCACTAGCACCTCTGTTGGTCTGGATGGCTTATTTGGTGAGGTGACCCAGACTCTCAGCTGAGGGTCTGAGCTTCTGATCACCATGCACTTCTTAGACTATGGCTACTGTACTTGTCATGTATTCTCCAAGTTGAATAAGGGAACAGCAAGAGATGCTTGAGTGGTGTATCTTGTAATGCCAAAAGGTAAGACAGTGTTCAAGAAAAAAAAACCCATAGCGATGGAGGACTGAGGGACTCGGAAGCCAGCCCTTGGCTGAACTGGAACAATTTGAGAAAAAACTACTATTGGATTACAGCTCAAAGTATAAAATAAATATTCATGAGTCCATACTGTTATAAATAAATAAATTGGGGAAAAGAGACAAATCTGTACAGAAGAATTCCAAATAATTTATGTAGATGCTCTGAAGGAGGTGGAACATAACTCCCTGCTCCTTAGGTACAGGCTGTGAATAGTCACTTCCTTCCAAAGAATACTGGATGGAAAGGGGAAAAAAGAGTTACTTTACAGTGGAGAAATGTGACAAACACTACTTCAGCCAGGTGACCAAGGTCAGCATCAACTATGATGACATCATGGTGATAGCATGTTTTCTTGATATGAGGTGGTGAAATGGCACTTTATCTTTGTGGTCTTCCTGGTCCACACCCCAAAATCAAATCTAATCATCAGAAAAAGAGCAGATAAAATCAACTGGAGGGAAGGTTACAAAATACCCAACCAGCACCCCACAAAATTGTCAAGGTCATCAAAACCAAGGAAGTCTGAGAAAGCTACAGTCAAGAGAAGCCTATGGAGACATGATGACCAAACGCAATGTCATATCCTGGAACAGAAAAGGACATTAGGTAAAAATTTAGAAACCTAAATAAAGTGTGAACATTAGCCATTCATTCTGATCTTCTCTATCATTCCCAATTACTTTACCCAACACCCTACAAAGGAAAATTTTAATTATTTTTCAGTAGATGGGTATTTTTTAGACAGGTGTGTGGGTATGTATGAATGTATTTATTTCTGTCTTTTTAAATGCTAGGAGAATTACCTTGCTAACCATGCTCTTTAATGGATGTTAACCAACCATGAAATAAAAATACATAATAGCCCCAAAGGTGGAAAACAATATATTAGTTTATTTCCAAGAAAACAACATAGAACATCATCAAAGACAAAGACAGATTCAGTAGTTTCAGGGCATCCCCATGGGCTAGCAGAAACCCACTAGCCCAAACACTACGCTCTTCCAATATTACAGTATTTGAGACAGAGGAGAGATGACCACCAACAGACATGTAAACATCTTCTATTCCAAAAGATTTCTAGTTCTACATGAGAAAGATCCAGTGTAAACCATTTCCTCTTTTCAGGTGGCGTCATTTAAATAATTTGGAAAAAGATGATTTTTAGACTATGCTGTTAGCTCTAGATGTGTTCCCCACCCCTCAACCCTTTACCCCCCAATACGGTTCCATCTTTTTCAGTAGCAAGAAAAAGAAGGATTTACTTCAAAGTCATTCCCTTTAAATATGATTAACATTCAACAGGCACAATTACAGAAAAAAAATCGTGTTGATTAAATGTATCATTAGTTGTAGTAACTGCTTTTCATTAGAATAAATAAATATTAAGGAACTCAATGAATTAGAGGAATACAAAAGTAGACTTCACATTTTTCTGAGGTGACAGGACTTTTTCTCAATATTAACACTGAGAACATTCTTCAAACCTACCTCCTCTGGTATACTAAATATGGCTTTATTTCATCTTCTCTAAATAGTCCACCTCAGGAAATGAACTAAGAAGACCAGTAAGAGAATCCAAATTCTCAGACAGAGAACTTGTTTCCTATGCTTATTATCAACCTCTCTCAGCCTCACTTAATTCATCTGCAAAACGGGGGTTATCCTGTGAACCTCCCAAGAGAGTTGTGAGGTTTGAATGCAAGGAGACATATAAAGGAGCCCGCAGAATGCCTAGAACACAGTAGGCTTTAGCTTCTGTCTCCTCCTTCCCTTTCCTCTTTTAAATAATCTCTGATTTAAATCTTGACTTGTAATTACTGCTATCCTTGGCCCAATATCACAATCTACAACCCTGCAGATGAATAGATTAAAATACACCACTCTGTAAGACTGTCTTAGAGCGGCCTTTCCAACGTTAACATTATTACCAAGATATGTAGAGTGAAATAGCTTCCATGCTACTTTTCCTGCTTATCTCAGCACGTGTCTGGTGTATAACAGACACTCAAGAAATATTTATTGACTGCATGCTGAATGAATGAATTGGATGAGTGAGCAGACAAGGGATAACTGACAGAGAGGCTCAGCCACAATTGAAAGCTCTTAAAAGTCTAGACATTCTGATCAGCACCAGGCATTGTAGGGTTACTCAGAGAATACTACGGAGCTGTGAAAGCCTCACAGGATAGAACTTGGGCTCCATTTTGCAAGTAAGATAAGTTTGGTGGGGGTGGAGGGCGGTGACCGAAGAGGAAAGTGATTCATTCTGAGGTGTTAGAGACTTAAGACTACATCCACGCAATAGCACCTTTCTTCTAGGAATATCTTCATTCTGAGAGAACTTTTCAGTGTTCTCAATGAAACGACAGAAGAAGGATCAGAGCACATTATGACACACAGTCGAGAAATGTTCTGTTTCCCTGGGGTCCTTTTACTGAAACAGCAGGCAGTGACTGATATCTGAGAGCACATCCTGTCACCTGTTAAGGACTTCAGATTCTGTACAGAACTTTAGACACAGTAAACTGAAAATGTTAGTATTGAAACTCAGGAACGAGATCTAGTCCTCAATTCTAGTTGCTCAAGTTCTAAAGGAGATTGGTGAATTACTCAGAAAGCTGTTTCTATGCCTATGTGTGGTTGAGCAAAGAGGATTGGTACCCATTTATACGTGGCTATAGATCTGTTATAAATGGTTCCTTCTTCAAAAAACCCAATTCTTAATTTCCTAAATAGAATTATCTACAATTTTCCTTTTCATTAGAACATCTATATATGATGAGTATCTGGTGTTAAGATCTGACGGCAGCTAAATTTATCATTGATCAGAACAATAGATTGATACAGAGGGGACCACCAGGGTGGCCAAAGTTCCAGGACGGCTCTGTGCAGCCATCCTGTGAGCATATTTCACAGTGTCCAGTGGCTGTCGTAACATAGCATAACGTAGCCAGGTCCTGAAGCATATCCTTGGTCCCGAAACTGTTACTATAACCAAGGCAAAGTTCTCTCACAAAGAAGGGCTCTCCTTCCCAACTGCGATTCCCCTTCAATCCTGAGTTGTAGGCGATCAAAAATACCAGCTGGGCTGTATGGCAGTTTCACTCTGATTTAGGGTCCTTTCTCGAAGCCTCAGTTCTAGGCATTCCACAGTCAGGGGGTATGTAGTAAGCTCAAACTTGTTGGCAAAGAGGCTTGGCGAATTAATCAACCACTTTAAGTCACCATTTCCATAGATACAAATGCCATGTACGTAGTGGCCTGCAAAGGAGAAAACAGGAAACAGTCAAAACATCCTTGTTTTCAAAAGTCAGGGTAGTGAACTTGCAGTGAACTTGGTCAGGCCTCCTCCCTGAGCTCCGGGAGGCTAGCTATCCAAATGCCTACTTTCTATCTCCGCTTAAATGAGTAACAAACCTCCCCAATATAACATGTCAGGGCTGAACTCCTTAATCCCCTCCAAGTTTACCCCATCGTAATCCACGGCAATTCTATTCTTCAGTGCCCTCTACACTTCTCTCACTCCCCTGTCAGCGATTCTGTCGGCTCAACCTTCCAAATAGTAACAGAATTTGACCACTTTTCACCACCTCCACTACTACCATCCTGGTCCAAGCCGCCTCCATCTTCCTTTCTAGATTCTTACAATAATAACGGGTTTCCACTGCCTCCACCTTTGCCGGTTAGTATATTCTCAGCACAACAGCCAGAGTGATCATTTTAAATGTAAGCAGAATATGCCTCCTCTGCTCAAAATCCTCTCACGGCTTCTCATCTCATGCAGAGTAAAAGCCAAAATCCTAGCAATGGCATTCAAGACTCCTCAGAGTCTAGCCCCTTCTAACTTGGACTTACCTCCCGCCACTTGCTCATTCACTTATAACCCTTAACGACTCTTGCTCATTCACTTCAGCCACTCTGGCCTCCTTGTTGGTCTCAGGCACACCGGGCACACTCTGCCTGAGAATTTGTGTTCGCTCCTCGTCCTCTGGACCACGCCCTTCTCCCAGACATCCTCAAGGCTCCCTCTTACACCCCAGGTCTCTGCTTCAAGGCCATCTTCTCAGTGAGGCCTTCTCTGACCTCCTTTCCTCCTTCCCCGATTCATTTTTCTTTGGCACTTATTACTAACTGATGTATTTATGTATCAGTGCCACAAAGGAAAATAATATTTTGTTCATTGTATTTCTTTCCAGACAACTGTTTATTGTCTTTCTCCCCAGACTAGAATATAAGCTCTTGAAGAGCTGAAATTTGAGACGATTTTGTTCATTTCTGTGTCCCCTGCATCTGCAACAGTGCCCAGTAAATATTAGGTGTTAAGTTAATACTTGTTGAATAAAAGGATGGAGAAGGATGAGTGGAGAGTGAGTGGATGGGTAGAACTGAGAAACATCAGGGGGATGGATGATGGCTTCAGCTGGGAAAAATGCCTCTGGAAAAACTGTGGAGGTGGGAATTTTCACTAGAATAGGAAGTTTTGTGGGGTAATGGGTTAGAAACAAGAATGGTAGGAAGTTGGAACTCTTTTCCAGAGGTTTCTTGGCATACAGTAGAACTACTGCGGTTGACTGACTGAAAACAGATGAAAGGGTTGGGCCTTTTTAATCCTATAAATATGGAGAGTCATTGAAGATTTTTGAATAGAAGAATCAAATGATGAAATTGCTGTTAGCAAGATTGATTTTCCTGCACTTTGCAGGCTACGTTAGAAACCAATCAAGAGATTGAAGTAATGACTTAATGCAAACCGGAGTGCTCATTCAGTTAATGATTGCCGTGAGTGGGAAAGGAAGGGTATTAGAGGCAGAGCACGGAGGGACTGACAGGACGTGGTGATTCATTCGATGTGTCTGGGAAGAAGTACAAGAGAGAGTGAAAATCACTGGGGAAAAGAGCCAGGCTGGTGGAAGTTAAACAATAACTGGGTGGTGAGAAGAACTGAATGCCTAGGCAGCATGAACATGCTTAAGAAGATGGAAGTTGACAGGAGAGAAGACTTCAGTCTGGACCAAGCAAAGGGGGCATAGACAACTTGGTCCTCAGGATAGAGGCAATAAGATCTGAGATGCTGAGAATGCAGGAGAGTAAGGGGATAATTTAGGAGGACCCACACATGACTGTGACTGCAAATGGTGGCTTTGGTTGTCAGTACAGGTAACTTTTCCTCTTGAAACAAGAGGGAACAATGAGAGAATGGTCTGAAATCTCTAAGACAGAGGAAAAGGATGACATGACAAAGGAACTTATGGGGGAACTGTGATGAAATGTCTTGAAAGTTCTTCCTAAAGTTGACATTATCACCTTTTGAGAGTGGAAAGGCTGTTTTAACATAAGAGTGAGAGCTTAAAGATGAACAGGAAAGTTGAAAAGTGTATGCTGGAAAAGGCACCAGGAAAATAATGAGGTGAATAAAGAAGTACAGGCAGGAGGGTCTAGATGAAGTTAGATAGCAGGTCCCTGTGGTGGGTAAGTTTAGGACAGTTCAGTAACATTCTCCAGCAGTGTTCTGCTAGGGAAACACAAATGGCAAAAAGCAGATGGTGCTAATGATTGAGTGTAGGAATTGGGCTTGGAAGGTCAAATGGCAAGGGAACTAAAATGTTACTGAGAAGAGCACCGCACAGTGGCTCACAGCACATAGGCTGGACAATGAGTTCTCAGAAGGAAACTAGTAGAAGGAGGAAGCCAGAAAAGTTGAACCTCTGGAAATCTCAATTATAGAAAAGCAAACACATTGAAAACAACAACAACATATTTAGGTGCAGGGATACAGCAATGAACAAACTGGTCAAAAATCCCAGCCCACTTGAAGCTTCTGTTCTGGGGATAAAGACAATAAGGATGCAAGCTGGTGAAGGAAAGTAGCAGAGGTGACAGAGATTGTAATCAGAGATGGGAGCTCCAAGTTCAAGACCATAGAGCTGGAACAGTGCGCTGCGATTCTGAGGGCTAAGAGGGCTCATAAAGTAGGGACACACTCTTGGGTCTGAACAAATCCTATTACTCCCAGCCAAGGGGAAAGGGTTCAGGTTGTATTACTGACTTGCTGGTTTGGCATGCAATGTTCCACCTCCTCTGGATTGGGCCTGTCTCTTCTCCCTATATGGTGGTTTGAGGGACGGTTTTTATGCTCTGAACTCTATAAGGCTGTTAGCTGTTCTTTGGCATAACAGGCATTAAGAGAAGAAAAATGAGACATTGGCCTGAGTGAGGCTTGGGCTACCCAAGCTTTGTGCCGTGTGTAGGTTCCTGGCCAGGGGCTACGGTCATGGCCCCTACCTGTCATGTGATCAGGAAAGGTCCCTAGAAGAATGCAAACCTAACCAGCCTATACCTTCTCTACTGGGGAAGGGTCTGAATACAGGTGATGATAGGGAGACCGCAGGTAAGGGCTCTATTTGTGGGGGTGCGCAGCTGATGCACAGTGGAATGGGAGCTTCTGTGGCAGGGGAGGGCTGGAGCTCCCGGGTAATGACATCACATGGGTCCCTGTTGTGGATGTTGAGGTCCTCCAGTGTTACAGCTGGAGAAGAGGTAGAGAAGCAGATCAGAGGATGCCTGCAGTGGTCCTAGAGGGAGGGTGATAGGGGTTACGGAAGGATGTGGAAAAGACATGTCCCGAATATTGGGACCCTGACTGATGGTGTTGGTCCAATTTCTAAAGAAGACCCAGGAGATCACAGAGCAAAGTAACCTCCCCCCATCCTCCTCCTTCCACTAGGAGGGCAGGCTGTGATGAGAATGCAAGCAGGTGGCATGAGCCACTTCTGGGGAAAATGTGGGCTGCTTAGGTAAAGATATGAATATGCTTGAGAATGGACTGAAATTTCTCTACCGTGACATGAGGATGTTGCTGTCCACAGCGGAAGGGGACTCTCAAGAGACAGACATGAGAAGGAGGCTGAGAGTAATGGAGAGCCGTAGAGAAGCAGATTTAGAGGTTTTCATCTGAAATATTAGGTGTAGAGGAGATCGACTGATAAGTGAAGCCACAGATTGAGTGGAATAACAAGGCTTTACCTTGTTATCACAGGAAGAAAGGTCAAACCTCCATATTCACTCACTAGTTCATTTGCTTGATCACTCCCTGAATAAATATTCATTGCATGCAGTTATGGGCTTACTTGTGTCTCTCCCCCTGGTTCATACGTTGAAGTCCTAACCCCCCCAGGGCCTCAGACTGTGACTGCATTTGCAGACAGGGTCTTTAAAGAGGGAATTAGGTTAAAATGAGGTCATGTGGAGGGTCCTAACCCGATATGACTGGTGTCCTTATAGAAAGAGGAGATTAGGACACAGGTAGACACAGAGGGAAGACTACGTGAAGACACAGGGAGAAGACAGCCAGCTGCAAGCAAAAGAGAGAGGCCTCAGGAGAAGCCAAACCTGCAGCCATCTTGATCTCGGACTTCTAGCCTCCAGGATGGTGAGGAAGTAAATTTCTGTTGTTTAAGCCCCGCAGTCTGCAGTACTTTATGTTAGCCCTAGCGAACAAACACATATGCCCACTACGTACCGGGCAACAGTGTGAGCGGAATGTACACTAGGACCGACAAAAACCCTTCTGCATAAGGTTCCAGAGAAATAAAAACTATTTAAGGTTTCTAGTTCTTGTCCACTTGGAGGAGAAATCTCTCTTGTTAGTATCACCTGCCGTCGAGTCAGAACTGCAGCAAACACCTCCGAGCCACCCGGAAGCCTGTCTGTAGGGGGCAGAGGCTGATGTGAAGGATGGGAGTCCAGCTCCCGTGATATCACTCCTCATCCTGACCACTTTTCCTTCCTAACCACTGCACTTCCAAAAGTAACAGAAAGAGGAATAAACAATAAGACAGCAGCTATTCCACTGCTGGGTATTTATCCAAAGAACTTGAAAACAGAGATGCATAAAGATACATGCACCCCTATGTTCATCGCAGCATTATTCACAATAGCCAAGACTTGGAAGCAACCTAGGTGCCCATCAAGGGACAAATGGATAAAGAAGGTGTGATATTTATACACAATAGAATACTACTCAGCCATAAAAAATGATGAAATCTGGCCATCTGTGACAACATGGATGGACCTTGAGGGTATTATGCTAAGTGAAATAAGTCAGAGGGAGAAAGTCAAATACCGTATGATCTCACTCATAAGTAGAAGATAAAAACAACGACAAACAAACACATAGCAACAGAGACTGGATTGGGGGTTACCATGGGGGAAGAGGGGAGGTGGGTGGGCAGAGGGGGTGATTGGGCTCACATGTGTGCTGATGGACTGTGACTGGTTTTGGGACGGTGAACATGATGTAATCTACACAGAATTCAAAATATATTATGATGTACATCTGAAAACTATATAACGTTATAATCCAATGTTACTGCAATAAAAAAAAAAGTAAGACAGCAGAAACTAGCAAGAAGAAAGTACTATTATAATCTAAATCTACCTAGGTAATTATGAGCTGGAGAATGTCTGTGAGATGCTTAAATGTATTTTTCAAGGACTGTGTCTTGAAGCCTCTAGCTCCTCTACTTAATAACTCACAGATTGGTCTAAATATACCAGCAGTTCTCTCCATGAGAACCCTGTATTCCGCAACTACCTCCATGCCAACACCAACAAGCAGTATGGCCTCAAAGTGTGAAATGAATGCCTCACCATGGCAGCCTCCATGTTTATCTTCCATGTCAATCCACTTCACAGCTCTGAGGTTACCGGTCCATGATGCATTTGGCATGGAGCCAGGGACATCTGCAATGTTGATGAAGAAGAAAAGCAAAAATGAGAATCAAGAGGCAAAGTGTCAAGTTCATCGATGAAGCCTTCAAGCCATGCTTATTTTCTTTCAGTATATTATCTTTCACATCAGCCTTTTCATCATGGGTGCAAGACCCCAAAGGCTTGTGATGTGAATAATTAGTGGTTATGAGCCTAGCCTTGCTACCAGTAAAAAGAATCTACCGATTTTTTTCATAATGTGTGCCCAAGCCTGCAAAATAGAGTTTAAGAAATACCATAGCGTGAAACCATAAGGCAGCTGAAAAAGTTGGGGAGTTTTGGTCTCTCTCTCAAGGGCCTTAGTAGAATTTACTTTGAATCCTAATATTCAAATTTTTTAGGACTTTCCAGATGACTTCTATCTTGAAGTGAAAGGTCAAGAAACAAGCTTCTCTATGTCCTTAGTGCTAATAAGTGAGGGTGATTCCAGAGTCGTTCTTATATGAAATTGCACTATTAGGCAAACAGAAGGAAAACATCTTCTTCACTACATGTGGAACTCATAAACAAATCCTTTAACACACTATCCTTTTTATTTGTTAAAGTATTTCTCGAGCATTTGGTATTGCCAAGCATTGTGCCGGACACTGGGGACGGAGAGAGAAACAAGACATGATTTCTGATTGCCCAGTGACAATGAACTGTTGACCCCAAGCAACAGGCTTCAATCTTTGAGTTTTTCCTAGGAAGATTGGTGTGCACTGATCCATTCATCGTCTTTATTTCTTTCAGTTGTTCTTTTGATCGAAAGTTTAACTGATGACTCATTATCTGATTAGTACATTACCTAATTCAGCTGTGAAATGTTAAGAGTTAATCTTGAAAAAGGGGGAAGGAGGCTTGAGGTTGCTATCTTGCTAAGTCAAGGCTTCTCCAGCTCAGCGTTATTGACACTGGGGCTGGATAATTCTTTATTGTAGGGCCTGTCCTGTGCATTGTATGAGGTTTAGCAGCACCCCTGGCCTCCATCACAAGATGCCAGTAGTGCATCTCTCCCAATTGTGACAATCAACAATGTCTTCAGACGTTCCCAAGTGTCCCCCAGTTTGAGAAACACTGTGCTAAGCTATCTCAAATAACCTTCTTTGTCTCAAATTTTGGATAGGTCACAGAGATTGAAGGGTCCATTTAATCATATAGAGTATCATCCCCAAGATTTCCACTACTGGAAAGGGAGTATATGGAAATCAACATAAGTGCAACTAAAGGAGGAATATTTTATTTCCTAAGAGCTGCAGCAATTTTCACCAGTGAGAAATGCAGTCTGAACATAATTTTAATGTAATCGCACTACACAAACGGTATCTGGAGCCAAACTGCAGCAATTCTTTCTTAGAAGAGCTTCTCCAATATTGGTAAGACATAATGTGGTAGGCAGGATAAGGCCCCTCCTTCCACCAACATACACTCGAAGAAGTCCGCATTCTAATTGCTGGAACCCGAGAACTGTTACGTTACATGGCAAAGGGGAATTAAGTCTGCTCATCAGTTGACCTTAAAATAGAGAGATTACCCTGAAACACCCAGATGGGCCCAATGTAATCATAAGGGTCTTTACAGTGGAAGACGGAGGTGGAGAGTTGGTCGCAGTGGTGCAGTGTGAGAAGGACTTGATTTGTCTTTGCAGTTTGAAGACAGAGGAAGGGGCTAAGGAATCTGTGTGGCCTCCAGAAGCTGGGAAAGGCAAGGAAACGGATCCTGCCCAGACCCTACAGAAAGGAACGTAGCCCAGCCAACGTCTTGATTTTAGCCTGATGACACCCATGTCAGATTCTGACCTATAGAACTGTAAGACAATACATTTATGTTGTTTAAACTGCTAAGTTTGTGGTAAATTGTTACAGTGGCCAATAGAACCCTAATATACATGCTAATGAGAAAAAAATAACCCAAGATGATGGATACTTTTTAATAGGAAAAAAAATTGGACAAGACTAATACTTTTAAAGAAGTTTGTATTAGGCACATAAAATGTTTTCCTCTTTAAAAACATTAATAAAAACGTGCATTTTCAGAAGAAAAAAGCTCTTCTCTTTTGCCCTGATGTCACCTTATAATTATATGATCATTTAAATCAAGAACTGGACCGAGGTCTCGCAACTAAAATTAAATTTGGCTCCGCCTTTCCTGTAAATAGCATGAGTTTTTATCCCCTAAGACTCTCTATAAGGCAAGATTCTTCCTTTCTTGCTGCCAAATTTGGAAACTTTGCTTATAAATGTTGACTATTTAAGAAAAATACTATTAAGCAACACTTCTTCCTATTGCTTTAACTTGCATTTTAATACTTTAAAAACTATTTTAGTGTTTGCCTATCCAAAAGAAGCTTCCCTATTTTGTTCTTAGCACACATTTTAAAAGAATTTAAAATAAAACTTGGCTTAGTTAAGTTAGGGGGTGGGGATAGGGCAGTCTGGAAAGCAAAGAGATAATTTAGTATATTTACTCATGTCAGCAAGGTTAGCCGACATGTATGTGATTTCTATGAGTCTATTTTGGTTAAATAACTATAGCAGAAAAGCATGAATAAAACACTGCCATGACAAAACCCCCTTACCCTCCTTTAAATGATTACATTTTTAAAGGGACGAGATATTTTTCTTCCCCTTTCATTCTCATTAATATTGATCATCACAAACTGACTCTTACTCAGAATCACATTCCATTATTCTAGAGATAAAATCATGACATTTATAATTAATGACTGCTGTCTTTGAAATAAACACATAACACCGATTAACCTCATGCTAACAAAATGACAAACCTCAACTTCTGTAGTTTCTGTTTGATGATGTGTCTCAAACATGTCTATTTAAATATTATTCATGTTTGTGCATAAAAAATTTCATTTTTAAAAGTAGAAGCGAGGAAAGGAACAAACAGCTGAAGTTGAATTCTACGTTGTCCTTTTTTGCAAAGAATCCCGAGGCACAGAAATATCTGGTGGGAATGAGCACAGACTCTTGCTTTTCAAGTGAGTTCTCGGATTGAGAGCATCCATGTCATCTGGGAGCCTCTTAGAAACACAGAACGTCAGGCCCCGCCTGAGCGCCCGGGGCTCTGGAGGCGCTGGATTATAATCCACGTGCTAAGAGAACACAGCTGCTTTTTCTCCTTTCCCCGCAGTCTTTCCCTCAGCCATCATCAAGTTTCCAGTTTAGCCTCTCACTCTCCTATTCTCACTCAAATTCTGCTCTGCTCGTATGAAGGAATGTGGTACTCTATACCTTTTCATCTTTTGGTTAATTTAACGAACTTGTCCCCACTGCTGGAAATACATTTTAATAGACCTCTCACATCACCTCCTTGAAGACAATCAGCCCACCTGTTCCAGGGAAAAGCCATGTTGAGCAGAGGGCTAGTCCTCATGATGCCTTTGACTTTACAGCATTTGGCCCACAGGAGATGCTGGCTCAGTGTGAAAGGAATGAATGAGTGTGGCATGCAAGAGTTGCCCCATCAACTTAGTCTTTAGTGCTGATGGTGGGGATCACTTAGCTTGCATGTGGACCAGACAGGCCGGGTTGCTACCTTAGTTCCCCAAAAGGCCACTGTGATTTAAGGTGTAATAATGTTCTACTTCTCAGTATTGAAAAGTATTTCTTCTACCCTCATAGCAAGGACCAACCTGTATTAGTTTGTCACACAGCAACTGCTTAGGTGGCCATCAATCATCTATTCTTGACATCTGCCCTGCTTGGTACAACTGGCTTAGGGAGGAGATAAACACTCAACAAGACTTCTGGTGACAGCTCAATTCGACTACTTTGTAATATTCGAATTGGTTGTTATTCTGAGGAGATCAATGGCAAGCAAAAGACTGAATAGCCTAAATGTATAGTGTGCCCACTATTCAGTAAGTGATTTAATTTGTCTTGGTTTAAAACATACAGGGAGACCCCAAAGTTATGATCCTATCCTCTGTGCCAACATCTAGTTTCTCCTTCTACTCTCTATAAACATCTACTGAGCCTAACTCTGTTTCCTGTTTTTCTCCCAGAGATTGACCTCAGGCCGAACCCCCTGATGGAAGTGACACTGACCTAGGGATTGGGGGATTTAGTTCTCATCCCAGCTTTGTCATTAACCAGCTGTGTATCCTTGGGCATCATTGAACATGTCCCAGGCTCAACTTTCAAATGACGTAGGTAGATTAGATCAGCACTTTTTCAACCTTTTAGACTCCATTCCACAGAAAAACAATTTTATACCATCACACACACATAGATAAAGTAAATGAAAGTTTCACAAAATACTTAGGCTTATTACATGCAATGCACTTGTTTTTTATGTTATTTTCTAGTCTAATCTCATGTTAAAAATTCTGGCTAAAACCTAATAAAGTGATTTCTGGATTCACTAATGGGATATACTCCTATTTAAAAAATACTGGACTAGATGATCGTGTTATTATTGTTGCTGTTATGACTATGATATTGTTTGTCAGGATTCTAGGAGGGCAGTTCTGGGGCATATGGGTGTGAATCTACCCTAAATCACAAATATCCTAGGAAGGGTCTATTTTGCATTATTTCTAGAATAGCGTAACAAGAAGACACCAATATTAGCAGAGAAAACATTTTAAACTATAAGATCCAATCTTCGTATTTGCTCTTCATAGGCTTATTTAAACAAAGATTTGAGATAAAGTTTACAGAGTAACCAGGAATGTTTTCCTTGGGGCTTAGCCTTTATTAGTCAAATAACTATATTTGTTGAATAAATGAATATGATTCTTTGAAATGTAAGCTTTATTTATATTGACTTGACTTTCTCCTTATTGTTCTTAACCAGTGTTGTCCTCATTTGGGGAAATGTGGCATACGTGGTGACAAATCCAGCAAGTGCTTATTACTGAAGCTCAGATATATGCTTTCTAACTTATTAAATAAACAAGGAATTTTGGTTTTAAATGTCAAAAGTCAATGCTGATGTCAGGGTATTGAAAGAGGTTTTCTCACAATCTAACTGAA